TACATAATACGTTGATGTAAAAAATGTGCGAATAAGATTCGGACTAATTTCGCTTATTTTAAATATCTTTTGATGCAATTACTCATGTCATTTGTGGCACCTCTTGGATCAAATCTTACTTCTTACTAATATCATAAATGCGAATGTTTGGATGGGTGTTATTTTGAAGGTATCTCCAAAAAGGTAGCATGGATTTCGCTGATATTTGTCATAGATGTAGAACATAGTCTGGAAGAACACATAGGCTACTAAATTTTTTTTCTGTGCCGAAGTACTTGCTTGAGACATCTTGTCCGTGCATAAAACACATGCATCTCTTTTATTATCAACAAAACAGAGATAACAATATGTTTTAAAAAAATCAGTCTCAGAAACCCACGGTCAGTTGTTTAAGTTTGAGGCCGTCACAATGGAATTTACACACATACCAATATAAACATAAAAACAAACTCATGTACGCGTGGAAAACATCCTCTTGTCAATCCTGTAATAATTACGTTCTAGCAAGTTTCGACGATCAAAATTAACAGTGAAACATTATAACAGAAAAACGATTTTTTTCGCTGGTATGGTTTTATCTATGTATTATTAATCGCCCGCGACTCCGTCTGCTCAGAATTAAAAAACCTATGCCTATGTGTTCTTCCAGACTATGTTCTATATCTATGCCAAACATCATAAAAATCCGTTGAGCCGTTCTGGAGATATCTTCAAAAAAAACATCCATCTATATAAGTGAGATGTCAATTTCAATGAATACTTTTAACGGCTGTAATTATTTTGAAGGATGAGGTGATATTCGAATTTTCCCATAAGTCAAGTTTTTTTTTAAGAAACAAATTATTAATCCGTTTGCTTCTTCTTGAATTTAACTGATGTTATTCGCAATATCGTAAACAGAATATAAAATATGAAAATCCACAAGTAATCCTGTCATCTTAATGGGTGGGCCATTTAAAGGGGAACCGTTAAAAGGTCTGTACGTCCGTCCGATCGCCTTCCGACCGGTTGCCAGTAAGCTTACCTTAGCCTTGCTTTTAACTTTATAAAAGATTATATTTTACATTAATAAATCACAACTAAATACTCCAGAGAATACTTATTTTGATTTGTGTTTTGTTTTATATTATATATTGTTTTATATCTTTTTGTTCGGTAAATTAATTTTGTTGGCACTTAACACATATGTCTCAAATTCTCTTAGAAAAAACCGAGACATAATAAACATATGTATGTCTGGTTTTGGGCCGCAAATCCGTAGGCGCGGAATTAATAAAAACATAAATAGTAGAAGAACACATAAGCTACCAATTATGTTTTCTTTAATTCTGCGCAGACGGAGTCACGGGCGACAGCTATCTTTGTGTTATAACGTATTCCATACTTGAACATCTACATCAGCCTTTTGGAGATGTTAAATAACGTTAATATTGCTCGAAGATTTTTACGACACAAAAAGGTGCAAATGGAACGAAGTAAGGGTCGGTCCCCACTGCTTGCCACACGTAAATCTATTAACAAGTCCTATAACATATTCATGTTACTATAAAGATCTGGGAAATTCTTTGTCGGAGATCAATACGCTAATAGTATTATTATCTTTAAATTAAATTTACTTAAACATTATGAGTCATACTAAACCTGATAGTTTGTATGTATGGATGGTTGTTACTACGGAACGGTTAAATAGATCTGTCTGAAATTCGGAGAAGAGATAGATTAATAACAATATAGAGAATAGTGCACAGACTGCTCAGTAATTTTAATACGAAGTTAACGGTGTCACAGGAGACAGTTAGTTATATCTCAAATGTAAATATCACGTGTCACAATGTTAGTTACCTCTGAAACGAGTAGACCGATATTTATGAAATTTTATAAACATGTACAGTAGTTCTTACAATCGGCTACTATTATTTTTTTAATTCCATGCAGACGGAGTCGCGGGCGACTGCTAGTTATTGATAAAATTGATATTTCGTAACATGGTGTTTATGCTTAACTCGTAAATTAATTACCTTTAATTTTATACTTTAAACAAATATAAAAAAATTGTCCGTGATAGACACAACGCATTGTCACCCTAATAAAACGGAATGTTTGTATAATAGAAATTAGGTCTAAAACGCTTGTAGGTCGAATAGTTTCAAAATGCCATACTATAATAAAATAATGGATAATCATTATCATCTGCTTTGAACACAAAGATGACATTCTATTGTTAAAATTCTAAATAATAGGATAAATTAAAAAATTTGCGACTTCTATTGTTCGAGGAAGTATTTTTCTAAAGTCATTTGCTTGTTTTGAATTACAATAACGTGAGCTTCTACGGCCCAAACACCTGTACACTAAGCTTATTATCATACCTTGCATTGTCTCTAAAACCGTGTGTTTTAAACATATTGCCAACAGTGGAATCTTACGAGTAAATTCCAAATAACATGTAAACAATGAAAAAATATGAGGTATAATTCGATTCATATTTCCCTTGGCGTTAGTGGATTTATTTTTTTTATATAAATGACTACATAGTTACATTTGGGTAAATCACTAGATAGGGTACACAAGAAATTAGAAATCAGAGATTAGCTGCATTAATATGAAATTAAATATCCATCAAAGTTAATGCTATGGTAAACCTTGATATAGTTACACTCCGTAACCTTTCTAAGGAATACATTTAATAACAACTTTTGACGTGATATAACCTAAAGGTTAATTAAAAAGTTAAAACTCTAATCAAATCTGACATGGCAATATAATTCTAACCCATATTAAGAAGCTAGTTTACTTAACATTAAATATATATACTCGTATAGTTGTTCTTCCGGACTATGTCTTATATGTATGCCAAATTTTAGCGAGATCCGTTTATCTCTTCTGAAGATATTAACAGACATCAATCAATCCATATAAATAATTCGCATTTATAATATTAGTAAGAAGTAAGATATACTTTATTTTCGTTCTTTCCCTTATAATGACATATTTTTATTATTTATGCAATATTAACTGTGCAACTCCGTACGCGCGAAATTAAAAAAAAAAACCTAAAAAGTTGCCTACGTGTTCTGCCAGGCTATGTCTACATCTATGCAAAATTTCATCAAGATCTGTAAAGCCGTTCCGGAGATACCTTCTAACAAATATCCATCCATCGATACATTTAAACATTCGACAATTTAAAATATACAACATTTTAAAATATGACTGTGGCGTTATTTAAAATCGAATAACGTAAACAAAATATACGAATTATAAACCTAAAAATGAACAGCATTAATTGAGCTGTAAATTATAATTTCTTTGTTCAATATACAAACCTACCTTTACCTTTCATAATAAATATCCGCTGTATTATTTTAATAAAATTTAACAAAAGCCAACTTTGCAATTCATTTAACACTTAAAAATATAATTAACACAATCATAAAGTCTTTTATAAATTATTTTGTAAACAAAGTCGTAACTGGACGTCAGTTATGACGAATGTACTTTAACGCCTGGTCATCTCTATTGTGTGTCGTTTAGCGAGAACACGTAAAGACGAGGTTACATCCATAAGCGGTAGCGGGTAGAATTTATTTTACACTCGTATTGCCACTCATATTTAACAGTGTTAGATCCCGCTTTAACATTTTCGCACGAATTGGCCGGTTCAATTGGCAATAACACGACCTCACAGAAGACAGGCGTGAAGTGGAAGCTATTCCACGTTTCGTCTGATGAGTGTGCATCCCGGCCAAATTTTAGTCCTCTCCCTTCCCACCCTTTTCTTATAAGGAAATTATAGGAAGTGAAAGTTGATTTTTCGGATGAGATGACACGGGAAGGGAGAATATTCTGTACATCTCCATCGATTAAAGGTAGGCAATGCATATATGCAATTGCGTATATCTATGGGCAACAGTTGGTTCGCTCGCTCGTTTGTTACCTTATGATATAAAAAAGTAAACAATATGTGCGAAGTGTGATAGCAATTGAAATGCATGACAAAAAATCTAATGAAGATTCTCCAGTAATCCAGTGGTCTTTGTTCAAGTCATATTATATTAGCATAGAATCATGTATTAATTAATTGAGCGGCCAGTTTAAGCATTTTCAAACAAAAAGTAAGTAAAGGTTTTTCCAGTTTATTTTTGGGTAAAACAAGAACTCAGAATCGATACTGTTATTTTACAGTTTAAGATAAAAACAATTGCACGACATTTGAACTTACAAGACGTCATCATATACCCGGTCAATTCACAACAAAAGATAAGAAATTATACTTACATAGTTTAATTTAGTTTACTCATTCACGCGACTTTGCTTGAAATAATTTAAAGTAGAAATATTTTTTTTAGACTGTTTATTTGACTAATATTCAAATGAATATGACATTCAAAGTTCGTTAAAATTTTACCCTCAAGGGTGCAAAATAACTATAGGGAATAGGGGATGAAAGATTATATGAGATTATGTAAGGTTTATGGCGATTTTTGTAAGTTTAATATGTTTTGTTGTAATATTACTAATATACTAAAATTAATGGGAATGTTTGAGTGGATGGATAGATGGATGTTTGAAGGTATCTGCGGATAGGCTGAACGGATTTTAATGAAAAATTTGATGCACGATTCGATGTTGTAAAAATATGATATATGACATGTAGAACATAGTCTGGAAGAACACATAGGCTACTTATTATTATTTTTTATTTCGCATAGACGGAGTCGCGGTCAACAACTAGTATTTTTTAATTTTAAGCGAAATAAATAGCGTAAATAATTTATATGCTACCCGATGACAGTATTTCACACAGACGAAGTCGTAAGCAAAGCTAGAGTGTAATGGGATGAAATCTTATACTTTAAAAATAGATAATGCAAGATTTATTCATTGGAGAATCCTGTATACATTTGATAATAAGAAATATGGAGAAGATTGGATTGCAGGAATATCCAAACGTAATAAAGATAAAATTTAGTATTTATAATACTGCATTTCACTTCAAGATTCAGAAGTAACCGCAACTTCAAAGTTGAGGACGATAAATTATAGATTCAAAAAATGAATTTATACGCGTTTGTAATATTGTGTGGGATTTATCTTAGTTCTGCTGCTGCTGCTATTCCAAAGGGGTAAAATACTTCCTTTAACCACTTCCACCTTACTTCTTACTAATATTATAATTGCGAATGTTTGAACGGATGGATGTTCGCTGAAATTTGACATAGATGTAGAACATAGTCTGGAAGAACACATAGATTTTTTTTTGTTCCTCGTGTACAGAGTCGCAGGCGACAGCTGGTGTTTAATCTCAATAGTCTATCATTTCTTATTCCTGTCATACTTCATATCTAAAATTTTCTTTGTCAGATTCTTTACTCCTTATAACAATTTAAATTCTATGCTTATTTAAAATTTACTAATATTTGTCTTGTATATAATAAAGCTCCAAGGTTATGCTAGCATACAGTTCACGATTGAATGACGAGAATCGAATCAACGTAATCAGCAGTCCATACCTTCTTATTATCCATTAATGTCCTTTATGTTAATTAATTCATTTTGTACTTTTCAGGTTAAGCGAGAATGATCCATCTTTAAAACGTAAGTAATAATTAATACCTGAAAATTTTGTGACTATCTAATTTAAAAATGGCCATGACGGACGGACAACAAAGTGGTCCTATAAGGGTACCGTTTTATTTCCTTTCGAGGTACGGAACCCTAAAAATTTAACGGAAAGTATTCATATTGTTTCGTAATATATGAGAGACTTTTTAAAATAAAATATTAAAGCATTAAGCATGTTAAAGATAACTTTTATTGTTTTTAGAGTTGGAGATGCCATGTCTCGTGTTTCCAAATCTACCTATGAATTCCCGCAGAACGTGTAGTAACGAGTAAGTTATTACGTATTGTAGTATTCCTTATTAAATTTTATACACATTTTCTTATGTGTATAAAATTAAAGTTAGGAAGAAAAGCCGAAAATGTGGCAATGTATTGTCCCAGCACTAGCCTTACTAAAATGTCGACGTTTATGTCCCCTCACTATTCATTCTGACACTGGACTTTGTAACGAAAGCACGTCATTCGCGTCGAATGATTTCAACTAATACTGTCAAAAATTCGGACTAGTTTCCTACATTTATGACCGTGTAAATTTTATACCATACCACTCAACATGAGCACAAATAAATGAGAGTTGAGCATTAACTAATCGTTTTAGAATAACGTAGCCCAGAGGAGTAGACAGAGACAACATACGGCACAATCCGGGCACATTTATTCTAAGGCTCTTTATCCTTATATTTCAAATAATAAAAAATATTAAGCAAACAGCAAAGGTCCTAAGTGACGTAATCTTTATAACTTCTAGGATTTGTACGGTCACTTGTATGGATGGATACAAATTCCCCGATGGAGGTAAAGTGGCGGAAATGCACTGCGTGGCAGGCGCCTGGCAGCCGGCTATTCGCGACTGTATACCAGAATGCAATCTTCCCTGTTTAAATGGGGGTGTTTGTGGATTGCCTAACACTTGCCTTTGCCCCACAGCTTATAAAGGGCCTCAGTGTCAAGACTGTGAGTACCAATCGTGTTTACATTAAGTTGAAATGGTTTAGACTATTAAGCAGTTACCAAGACTTATTTTAAAGATTTTATGAATTAGAAATTAATTAAAAATAATCAGGTGTTAACACAGACTTATTTCAAAGCCATCGGGATTTTTAGAGTGATACCACACCCGACCCCTAAAATTTTCACAGCTATTCAGAGATAGGCCGACAACGGAGTATCTTAACTGTTGCCTCTTTTATTTAGTTTACAGTCCAGAAAATCATTCACATACCTTGCCTATAGGGACTCCTTTTAATAACATATTTTAGTGAATTATTCGTTTTTTTTTAAAATATTTTATTTTATATCATAGATTTAAGACTATATGTAATTATAGAAATAAGGATGTATAATAAATTCGCATTTATAATATTAATAAGAAGTAGATTTTTTTTATATGTTTAATACTACGACAGACAAGTTTTTGTAAAACATGCAGTTTAGTTTGTTTTTAAGTTTAAAGACCAGGATTCTTCAATATTTTTTCGTTCAAAGACATTAGTAATATTTAATGCCATTCACATTAGTTTACAATTATATCTCACGACGTTTTATATAAATTCAATTTTTTTAAGTTTTTGATAATTTATCACTATAGTGATTTGTTTTCTCATAGCTTTATATTAACTAATACTTTCATATTACAGCAAACTGTGACCAAAAGTGTCAGAACGGTGGTACTTGCGTTGCAAAGAATTTATGTCAATGCACCAACGATTTCTATGGGAACTATTGCGAGAAGAAAAATGAGTGTCTCGCGCCTCCTAATCTACCAAAGAACTCTAGGAGATTATGCAGTACACTGTAAGTATACAAGCAGTTAAACACGTAAGATATTACAAAAATCTTGATCATCGAAGCGTCAATAGCCTAATGGTTAAAGGTACAAATTTCCGATCACGAGGTCGGAGGTTCGAATCCCGACATTCGACTATTGTCGTAAACCATGTCCTAGCACAAGCTTAGAGCTTAGTTGGAATGGTAAAAAAAAATACCAGTAAATTACCAAAAAAAATCTGCTATTATTTTAAATAAAAAAAATTCGGGCACTTATAGCAATATCTTATTTAATTTCCACGAGGTCATAACTGTTACTTAGTATCATCAGTTCACTATACGTACCACTCAGGGGCTCGGAACCTACCCTAAGTTAGGGTTGACTAGACCATATTAAACCACGGTAGCCTACTGCAGGTTAACACATATCTTTGAATTTCTTTACAAAGTCGGATAAATGTACTACATACTTGAATCGAAAAACATATTGATTCATGGTGGGGGCTTACCCCTGATCCACCAACGCTCTATACGTTACATAAAATATCGGTAACGTTTGACTTCTAATGGCAAAAACATCTAACATATATGTACCTTTTTCCAGGTCGTGCATCGTCACGTGTAACAGTGGATACAAATTCCCTGACGGCTCAACTGACGCAGGAGTTTACTGCGTGGGTGGCGCGTGGCAACCTACGTCCACGCCTGACTGCATTTTGAATTAATTGTTTTTGATATTCCATTTTTTAAATGTCATTTATCTTTTTTTTCATCTTTTACTCTCTAATTTTTAATGATGATTATAGATATTGTATTAATTTTTTTAATCAGTATGGAAGACATTAAAAATAAATAAAAAAAATTATATTTTCCTATTAATCTCACTGTTAAGAAGGACTGGAAACTTAACGCCAAATTGTGTTATTTATAATTATGTCTCACGAAACATAAATAATTTCAGTATATCTAAATCTATTTTAAAACGCTACCGCCTATCCATGTGCAGACACCTTTATCCATTTCATGTAATATTGACCTCAACAAGTACATTTCGAAATCGTATTGCGGGCCCTTACTTCACGTTATCATGTTAACTTCACTCGTTAATTAATTTGTTTGCCAAACTATGTTTCGACCTGTCCGTTATAACAGTCATATACTCGTATATTGTAGGAAAAAATATACAACTAATGTTGGATGGATGGATGTTTGAAGATATCTCCAGAAGCGCTGCATGGATCTCGCTGTAATTTAACATATATGTAGATAATAATCTGGAAGAACACATAGACCACTAATAACTTTTTTTTTATTTCCGCGCGTACGCAGTCGCGGGTGAGAGTAGAAAACGAAGCTTACTCTATTACTCCAATGTTGTTTCATTTAAGCCCTACGTATACAAGGCAATGTAAATTCGAAACTAGGCGAATTTTGTCGCTAAGCGACATAAGCGACGTTATATAGGTTTATAAAGGCACGCATCGCCGACATTTTGTTTTCAGTCGCTCGCAAACTGTTTCTCAGGATTGCAATGAGTAAAGACGATGAGATTTTCTATATGACGGATGCGTGTAGTTGCTATACTTGTCCTAATAAGACTCGCGTCGACGATTCGACGTCGTGTATTCGGAGCCCGGCCAAAGATACTCGCAAAACAAAGTAGTAACAACAGAAATTATTAAATTCTTTTGTAAAAAAACCTTATGTAATGTGATCCGTTACATCGTACAATCAATTTTGATAACAAAAAAAACATGATGAAATCTTAACCACTATAAGAACCCCATGACTGCAAAATATTTATTTATAGTGCGACCTAATCGGATTGATCATTAAAAGTAAAAAAAATAAGGATCCTTTTTTTTATATATTATAAGGTGGCAAACGTGCGAGAGGCCACCTGAAATCGCTGAAATAGCGAAGTGACCGTTGCCCATAGACATACGCAATTGCATATGCGTTGCCTACCTTTAAATATCTGATATAAAACACATTGGAAATTTTATTATAAGTATAAATAAATGTTATGCTTTCACTTACATTTTATTATACTAGAAGACATAAATACATTACAAATAATATTTATTATCTTGAACTTTTTGAAACTATCTTTCCATCTGAATATTAATTTCACTTTGGTACTGAATGATAATGTACCTCAAATAAAGTTTAAAAAAATTAAGCTTATATAAAAACGGCTAAGCACTCACGTATATTCGTCCGGTGGCGGCACCGACTAGTTTCGAACCCATTGGGGGCCCTTCTTAAGGGTGAATGGGACTGGTATTATTTCGCGAACGCGGCCCTCAGTTCACATTTTATATAAGTTTATTATAATGTCTCACGAAAGTTTGAATAATTGTTAAAACATAAACTCAAAAATAAAATATAAAATTGCAATGTATTAAGACGTGTCAATCCACGTATAACAAAGTGGTCATCAAATCGAACCGACAAAACTGACAAAAAGCGATTCGAAATGCACCGACAAAGTGGCACACCATTGTCACACGTCACCACTATTACCGACTAATAATGGTTTTGTTAAACTTTAAGATATTTATGGCACTGAAGGTATTCTGTTTTCTTTGTAACATTCACGACGTCCCGTCGCGTAACTTAATTACGTTTCGGAGTAATGGACGCGATTTTATTTAAGGTTCATTTAATTACAATGAGTACACAAAAATTTATATCATCAAAAATATTAACAAAGTTTTTATAAGAGACAACGTATGCAATTGTTAAAATATAATTAAAGCTATCGCATATTTAAAATTATGTTTACTACTTATATGATATATGACTTTACTAATATTATAAATCCGTAAGTTTAAATGGATGGCTAATAAAATGATCAGTTTTTGAAATGTGTGTTTTGTTTGATGATGGACGAGAATATTTTGGGATATTAAATAACATTTTTTAATGTAAATGAAAGATAGATAAATATCAATTTTATTAATGCGAATGTTTGGTTGTATGGATGTTACAAGCTGTCTGCGGAACAGCTGAGCGGATTTTGATGAAATTTGGCACACATGTAGAACATAGTCTGGAATACATAGGCTACTTATTAGGTTTTTTGAAACCGGCGCTGACGGAGACGCGGGCGACAGCTAGTAATAATATAAATGCGAAAGTTTAGATGGATGGATTATTAAAGGTATCTGCGGAAGGTCTTAACGAATTTTAATGAAATTTGGCACACATGTAGAACACGGTCTGGACACATACGCTACTTATTAAGTTTTTTTTTTGGAACCGACGGGGACAGGCAGTTCAATATAAATTAGTTTGATCGGTTGGCAATGAAGGTTTTAATATATTCTCAAAGAAATAAAACTTCAGACTTTCTAATATGTTTTGGGAATAATGTTACGAGTTATAGACGAGATCTTAAATCTAAAACGTCAAGATTTAAAAACGAAACATTGCAGTAGGTACACAAATTTTAATATGTACTAGCTGTCGACGGCGAAACGTTCGCGAGGATATATAAAAAAACTTAATATATAGATAAGTTAAATAAAAAGCAGCTCTTCAAGACATAAATTCGAAAAAAAAAGAATAAATAGTATCCTATGTCCGTCTCCTGGCTCTAAGCTACCTACTCACCAATTTTCAAACATATCGGTAAAGCCGTTCTTGATTTATAAATAGTGTAACTAACACGACTTTCTTATATATATATATAGATTTAAATTTATAATGTTAGCTTTGAGGAAACTTAAAAGAGAATGCATTTAAACATATGCAACCTTAGAAGAAAGCGCATTTTATGACTGGACGATAAAATTTCAGACCGTGTATAGAAAATTATGTGCATACGTCCCGCTTTAGTTTGACTATGATTTAACTAAGCTATACTTTGGCGGCACCGTATTTGCAATAGAAAGATCTTTGAAATGAAGTGCGAAAACTATAAACAATTGAAAAGACTGGGTTTAAAACCCAGAGTTAATATGCGACAAAAAACTTTCTTAAATGGAAAGTAAAACATACCTGCTTTGCGATAAACTTATTTTACAAAACAGTATTACAGAAAACATCGAATGAAGCACTCACAGGTAAATATTACTATTGCTGTTCCAAATCAAAACGTAAAGATTGTAAATTTATGGTGGGAACCTAACCACCTTTTACGCTTAATATGCCTTAAATGAATTAAATGAATTACGCTTAATATGAATTAAAAAAAATTAACTGTTAACTGTAATGTGTTCTTTCAGACTATGTTCTATATATTATTATATATGCGAAATTACAGTGAGATCCATGCAGCCGTTCTTTAGATACCATCCATCCATACATCCAAGCATTCGCATTTATAATATTTGCAAGATTTTAACAAAATTGTAGAATTTTCGATTAAAATTTAAAACAAAACGATTTTGAGTAACGTATTTATAAAATTTGTTTCTTCACAATGTTTAGGTCTAGAATTGGAATAAACTATAACCGTTAGGTATCAATTTCAATGTGTTATCTTAGTTCCCGGTATGAACCTGGACTATAGTGAAATGGACTAGTCAAAGAGCCACTTTTATACTAAATAAATTCTGCAACTTTTCCCAGGAAGTGGGGTAATCACGTCTCAAATTTGCATATCATGCTGACACATAAAAACATATTAATATGAAGGAATACTTACTAACAATTTTGAAACACGTAACAAACACACAATTAAGCATATGTAGAACTTATTGTTCGTTTTTATCAGAGGGGAATGCGCGTGCTTCTCAGATCCTGTCATTTAAAAGTCAAAGCTCGTAGCATTAAAGATTCGCAGAAGTCAGCATCCCTGACACCTGGCTATGGGGTCACAGCCCCCGTAATATCTGCGACGAGGTCGTAGCACGATGATGGTAATGCACAATTTCACGGCCCACCCTTAAGCTTTGGTCCAATTCATAAGCTTCAAACATCAGCGAATTAAAAAAAAATACTTTATGAATTAAAATCAACCCACGAAAAATTATACAGCATTCCAATAAAATCATAGATATCAAAAATACAAAGCCTAAAATATCTTTTAATTGTAGAAGTATAAAGCATTTTTAACCTTGAATAGCTAACATAAAAATATTCGTATAAAAACTAACTTTAAACACATGTAGGCGTTGACAAATTTTATCTCTACATTCTCTATACTGTGTTCGTCATATATTTTGTTACAACAAACATTTTACTATAATCTTTTGTCTTATACGCTTTATCGTAATATTTGCTCAGACTGGAAATAAAATGATAATACGCGAAGCTTATAACTTGGGCCACATCCCAACGTATGCATAGTCACGACCCACCCGCTACCTCTAGCTAAAGTATGTTTTAAATAGACCCAACGAAACTATGTTGTATCAGGATGTGGACTACTGCGTTTTGTATGCGACAGAACTCCTTAATTATACTAATACTAGCGGACCCGACAGACATTGTCCTGTCTACACGTCTTTAATTTGAAAATTTGACACTGCGATGGTAGCGCCGTCTGTCGGATCCAATATAAAACATTCTAAAATCAACAACTACTAATAAATTAAAAATTAATTAAAAAAACATTGTCCAGCGGACAAAATTGTAAATCTAGACCATTCCCAGATCCCCTTGAACACACACAAAAATTTCATCAAAATCGGTACAGTCGTTTGAGAGGAGTTCAGTGACATACACACTCACAGAAGAATTATATATATAAAGATTATAAATGCGAATGTTTAGATGGATGGATGTTTATTTGAAGGTATCTCAAGAACGTCTGCATGGATCTCGCTGAATTTTGGCACGCATGTAGAGCATAGTCTGGAAGAACACATAGGCTGCGATTTAAGTTTTCTAATAACGCGCGGAC